GTTGCTGTCAGGGTTTGCCAAACTCCTACGCTTCAACTTCAAAAAAAACATACAAGCTTTGAAGCTGGGACAATATATATGTATTAGAATGTCTGATTTCAGAAGTGCTGCTGGATGCTGCCACCACAAAGACAAGTTCAGTCTTACATTTGCTGCCTGGAGTCCAAGGCAAGGGTTCACAGAGCGACCAAACATCACAGCCCCACACAGACTGCAGTGAACTGAGGTGCTTCAGAGCAGCCTGCCCAAAGCACCCCCTCATAGACCCTGTCCTGCTCAGAGATGTACAGCCCTTGCTGCTGAAGTTACTGTGTGCCATACGTTAGCTAGGATGGACCTCCTTTTTCATTAAGGAAGGAAGGTTCTTTCTCAGAGGATAAAGCAAGGGAACTGAAGGGTAGTGGTTAATAGTCGCATCTGTCCCCAGTCTTTCAGTTCTGATCAATCACCGCAGGACTTTTATCTTTTTTTGACTTACAGCTATCTTACAGAAAACCATAAACTTCAGTTTTGCCCATGGGAGAGTCCATTCCAGAAATGGTATGTTCTGGCACTGCCAATGTACTTGGCAGACATAATGTGCACTTTAAGGGCTTTCCTAACTTCAGTGAATTTCAGAGTAGCAATTATCTTCAATTACTCCAGATGAAAGACCACACAAACATTAATTCAAATCTCCCTTCTCCCAGAAGCCCCCCTGCTATCCCTAGTCACCACTGTCCTACTTTCTCCTTCACCAAGGCAAAAAAGTTTGGACCTGCTCTTCCTTGATGCTCATATTTCCTGATGTGATCGCTTTCTTTGTCAAAGCTGCTTTTCCATGTGTATTATAAAAAGTCCTGTCCCACTCCAGGACATTTAAGAGTACTTGTTGCTAGTTTGGAGGAAAGCACTGCCCCCTCCACACAGACACACTTGCTGCTTCTTACCTAATTTCTCCCACTACCTCAACCAGGACAGAAAGAAAAACAAACAAAACATCTGGGCATTTGCTCCAGCAGTTAGAGGTAGCATAAGCTGTTCTGTTGGATCCAGATGTTTCTGTTGTGCTGTAGGACACAAAGTGGTGGTTAGTATCACCTGAAAGCGATGTGTGTCAGAAGGGTTTTATTACTGAAGAAATTAAAGAGATATGTATCAGCACTGCCTTGATTTCTAGCAGCTACAAAGAGCTTTTATTAAAGTTACCAGTGCTCTTCAGGTGAGGATATTAAACACAAATTAGAAGAATACTCAGCAGCAGCTACTAAACAAGGCTGAAACAACACTAAGCTACAGAGTGATGGCTTTGTAATTCAGATGCATCTAAAGGAAACATTAGACTCAAAACGAAAACTGAGATCAACAATACGTTGGGATCGTTTAAATCACAAATGAGATGGCTTGTCATCAAAGCTGAAACCTGTTCTCAGGCTAACTAGCCAAGACCCAGTATGGCACCACACGGCAGCGCGTAAGAAACAAAACTAGCATGTGTCTGTGATCCACGCAAGGTGAACTAGAAGAACTACTGGTGGGAAGAAACGAGAGGAGGAAGGAGTCTTAAATATGTAAACGTCTTCCGAGAAAAACACTCAGCAGTGTGCCAGAAGTCCAAAATACCAATGTTCACTAGAAATGCAGAATCACTTCCTAGCAAGTTCAGTACAAGCTTTTCAGTACAAGCTTTTTGACCTCTTCAAGAGGAAGGACTGAACTCTGTATTGCTTCGTAAACTGCCAAGCTCCGATCTGTACGCATCAGAGATTTCACTGCTCCATTATTTTATTTTTTTTTCCATTCCAGTTTGCTGCATAAAAATCTGTAGCTTTGACTGCTCCACCCTATAGAAGGCTGAGTTTTACAGCTATTTGTCAAATAGCAGTAACGGTCTTGGTTTTGTTTTTACAATGATGATAATCCTTGCCATAAAGAACATACGTTTTAGGAGGCATGTCTCATCTGTGACTCACTTGACCTGTGTCGAGTAAGGCAACAGCTATGAGTCTGTTCACAGGAGCCTAAATTCCATGATGGGCTGCAAACTTGTCCTGAAGCAGCAGCCTGGGTGCATCAGACAAAGCTCCCCAGAGCCCAGTGAGCTTCAGTTCTCCTCAAGCACGCACATACTGTTACTGCCTCTTTTTTGGGGTGAGATGAAACTGGAAGTCCAAAGAATCATGGCGTCAATTCTTTTACTTTATTTGCTGAAAAGCTCCTGACGGCAGGAAGAGCATGGACAAACCTTTACAAGTCTTCAAACAGGCAAAAACTGGGGCCACTAATGAAGTAGTCTAAAAGATACCAGAGAGCTGTGAAGCGACAGAAACACAGGAAGGGGGCTGTGGGGAGGAAAGGGGTTTTGAGACAGACTGCTGCAAGCAGAAAAAAACCCACAGGGCCAGGCCTGGAGACGCATTTGGGCACACCACCAGAGCCAGAGGCAGGGAAGATGAGCAGCACAGTAAAGACATTGTGGGATCCTAAAATCAGAGAAAGGGGGCAGTGACAGTCAAGGAGATGAGTAAAACGACTCTGGGCATAGAGCCCACCATGAGAACAGTGCAGGGAAAAAAACCACCCACACTGAGGTCTGGCAGGGCATTCCATGTCTGAGATGCTAAGAAAGAAAATCAAAGAGCTGGTGGGGTGACTGCAAAGACCTGAGTTTGTGCTGCCACTTGAGACTCTCCAGAATAGGAAGTGCAGGAAGCGAAGTTTGAGGTTTGGGTTCTCTGAGGCCAATACCATTTTGTTTGCTGAGCCTCATGCTGTCGCTGTTTCCCTTTCGATAGGGATTGTGAAGAATGTGGTGGCTGTGCCCCAGCTGAGCAGGCACAGATAACTTTTTGCTCCATCAGAAGCTCACTGAAATACAATGCTTTGCAATTCACTTACAGTGGCCTGTTACTTGATGTTCATGAACGTGTAAGACATGGAAAATGTCACTTTTACACCAAACTTTCCTAACACAGCTGTTATGACAGCTGTGTTATTTCACACAGCTATTGCTTTATCTTAAACAAAATACCAGGCACATTTAATCTAGTTGCCTGGGCAAGGAGAGGACCAGATCAAAATAACAAATTTTAAATTGAAAAGCGTCAACTAAATGAAAGTGGACCTATTCCTTGCAGAAGCAGCGTGCTTTCAACACCGAAACTCTTTCCTCTCTCCAAAATAGCTGAGCCTTAACATCTCACATTCCCGGGTTTCTTCTGAACATATTACGCTTTATACACTTCACACCAACCAATTTTAAGTAATTCATGACACATGGGAGAATCCAGTACTACAGATCATTTAGCAGAAGTTGATCAAATAAAACTAATTTTGAGAAAAGCCCAATCTAATTCTGCCAGATAGCATTCCTAATGCAGTTGTGTGCTATTGTTAGCTATTTCAAGCCAAAATTTGATCATATGGAATCGAGGAGGTCTTTGCCAGTTTCAGTAGGACCAAATTGCTGGTCTTCGGTAAGCTATCAAATGCCACATGGTACAGGCCTTCACACCACAAGTTATTTCAACTCGGAATGTCTGGAGTAAAAATTTTACGCTGCTAAAAACTGTGGAAAAAGTCACTGACTCTTTATGAACAGCTAACCACGATGCTGGCAATACATAAACTAGTTCCAGGTCTGTAAGCAGGGAATGTGGAGAGCTACTGTTAGTCCAGAAAGTCTTTATGCATAAAAGATATGAATGAATTACTGCAGCTGGAAACCTCCTTCCCCTTCCTCAGAGGCTTTCCCATCACTGAACTGTGAACTGAAATGAAACAACAGCTTTTGGGGGCAGAAACTCGGTGTCAAAAGTTTCACATAAGTCTCTGCCAGTAAAAGAGCAGGTCAGCAGCAGGATCTGTTGTCATCCATGACCACAGCTCCTCTGTCATGTGGGCAGAAACCCCCCCACTCTTTACCACATCTCATAAAAGGACAAAGCGATAGTCGCTGTGTAGAAGTCATAAATGATTGTGTAAAAAGATAAAGCGTTCACCCTCTCTTCTGCTCTCAACTTCTCCTTTATTTTTAAGACAGACCCACCAGGGTTTTCCTTGGTACTAGAGGAGAAACTGCAGCTCAAGCCCAGCAGGTGTTTTCAGTCAGGCAGTCTGTAAACACCCAGGACTCACTTCAAAGATCCCAGTGCACCCCAGTCGGAGAAACCCCCCTGATCCCCAGGAGGAGCCGCCAGCCCGCTGCATCCAGCAGGAACAGCACCAGGAAACTCCGCCACAAGCAGGCTGGGAACCCTCTTGGTTTTTTTCCCCCCCCCGCCCTCCCCCAAGATGCAAACTCGCAGCCACATGAGTGTGGGCAGACCCCGAGTTTCGGCGTAAGCGCGGTGGCTTCTCTGCTGACGTCAAGGAGCTGCCGGGCTGCAGGACGGGGCTGCCAGCGAGCCCCCTGAGCGGCAGGGACCTGGGCTGTGGGCAGGCTGGCAGGCAGCCCAGCACCCAGGGTGACAGCACCAGCCACTATGAGACATCTCTGCCGGGGCTGTAGTTTGGGAAAAAAAACTGTCACTGTCAGGGCAAACATCTGTCAGCCTTGTGCATTTCAGCTGTAGTGAGAAACACAGTAATTGTATCATCTATTTTCCACACTGACACTGTGACATACCCAGCTAAAGAAGATAAAAGAAGCTTGGACAATTAAGACTGCAGAGACCTGTGGCCTTTTTGATTTAAGCTTATTCCCTTTCTGTCTAAATAAACATATCCGTTTTGAATGATGGATGTTCCTCCCCCCACCCCAATGTGCCTTATGCCGGGGCTCCACTTCCCTCCTTACTGTTGCACTTCCATATTTGCGTAGGTCTTTCCCAGGGTGACACTTGTAGGAAGTGAAGAGCGTAGAAACCGTGCAGTTGGATGGTCAAGTTGCAAAGGGAGGTGAGCTCTGGAGGAACGGCTGTGCAGCCGTACAGCAGCAATCCCCTGCTGTCCGCCGCTCCCACCCTCTCCTCCACCTCCCCCCAAAACACGCACCTCATTCTCCACGCCCCTGTCCTTACCTCATAGGACCATACACACTGCACCCCCGCGAACCTCCGTACGCATCTTCCCACTTCCACGTCCTCGTGGGTGGTGTACATCTCTCGCAGGCACTCGCCAATGTGGGGCACCATTCTCCGCAGGACTTCCCGGCTCATGATCACTCCTGGTCCCCCCATGCAGAAGTTCTCGCCCGGTTCCAGCGCCAGCTTCCCCATCTCCTCTGTGGTGCCGAGGCCAGTCTGCCCAAGAAAGAGGGGCTCGCTGCTGTTCAAACTCCTGAGGAAGTTCTCCAGTTTGTCCCCTTTGATGTAAACGTCGTCATCAGCTCTCATAAACCATTCGTATTTGTCCAAGTAGTGGTCATGCATGTATTTGAGCATCATGAAAGATTTCTTCTGGGGTGGGTAAGAGTCATCTACACCTGGAAGTGGCACGATGGGGATAGGAATAGAGGTGTCCGAACCCTCGCTGGAGAAGAATTCAACCTTGCCAGGAATGGTTTTGGACCAAGTTCTAGATTGAAAAAAACAGTAAGAACTAGTTAAGTATGCAAACCAAGGTAGGCAGAGAGTGCTACCAGAGACCACGAAAAGGAACTACAACTCATCTGCTTTACAAATTTTCTTTTTAAATGCCTTGAAGGGTTATTTTTTTCCATGCAAATGAGGACATTCACATGGCACACAGAGCAATTGGTATAACACACAAAAAATTCTGATACGACAAGCATCTAAATAACATTTTTGCATCTCTATCTGATAGAAAGGTAACAGCAGTAGTTCACTAGCGGCAAGCACGATTTCTTCAGCACACTCAGTATTGGTCTAACAGCTATTGGTCACAAGATACAGAGCGAAGCCAAAGGGAGCCAAGATGGACAAACAATTCATGTACAACTGGATTTAATGCCTCCAAAGCTTCCCTGCAAGTTATTCAGAACCATATCCACCTTCTATTCCCTTTAAGGTCATCAAAAGCTCAAACGTGGGGTCAGAAGTACTGGCTTCCAGAGGGTAGAGATGCAAATTTCACATGAACTTATGAGGAATCAGTATCCTGTGGGAAACCAACCAAACAGCAACCTCTCCAGATGCTACGCGGAGAAGCATGTGGTGCTTTGACAGAAGTAAAATGCTCCTGCCTGTTTGTGACAGCCAGAGAAACAGAGAGCATGGTAGCAACAGTAACCTCAAAAGGGTCTGCCATACCAGCAAAGGACTAGTAGAAAACTAGACCCGAGAGATGCACGCAAAACAGGTAATCCCAACAGACAACCTGGGGTTACCAACACCCGCACCTCCAGCAGCTTTCCGCACACTTTAGATTTTACTAAGAGAGGAACATCACAGAAGAGAAGCCTTTTCTGTGCAAAGCAGCAGACATCTGCTCCACACCTTCCGTGCTCCTCTCTGCCAAATCCAACCCATTTGCGTGGGCAAACTGGGTCACTTACATTGCAGGAAGAGATGTAGGATGATTCCTCAAGGCAGACTGCAGAACACTTAACCTCCTCCAGGGAGGATTTTCAATCATGTAGCTCTTACAGCCTTGCCCTAAAAATTATGAATTTTAAGCTTTCAGTACCATTTTCTCAAATTCTGCCTGGGAAAAAGCAGAGTTCACGCATCCTTCACAGAAACTCACACAAACCCCTATTCATTGATACACCAACAGGTTTTGCCCCTTTTTGTATAGGGGGAGAGTATTTTCTAATTATGTTTGGCAACTATGCTCAGAATATAACCTATATTCAAAGCTGAATGTGAAAACACTCTCAAGGTAAAGGACACAGTATTTATTCCCTCAATGAATCACTGTCACTTTTACCAGATGCCTCTCAACATAGGTTTCTTGCCAAAAGCAGAACAGATTTTGGACAGTACAGACCACCTGAAATTTGAAATCTCCAGAATTAGCCACCATACAAAGTCTGAAATGTAAAAATATTTCAGAAGAATTATTTTTTAAGTTCCACTGGGAAACACAAAGGTATTTAATTAGTACTAACTAAACATCAACAACTTAAGTTACACACTAATTCAGCTTTGTGTAACAAATATCATCCAATTACTTTAAAAGCTTTGTCTTCTGGATTTCTTACTGCCACGGGTAGCATTTCACAGGAAAAGTTTAGATCCTAGCTTCCCAGGAGAGCAGAAAGTAAAGCCAGTGGAAATGTTCCTGTTGACTTCACAACAGAGGTGATGAGGCCTTTAATCATGAGTGATGAAACTAATGCACGGTACTACTGGTTATAAAGTCACATCCTGTTAAAGTACTGAAAACTGCCTGTTTTAAAATGAGACGTGCTTGTATCTTGAACTTTCACTAACTATTAAGGAAGTTCCACTGTTTATTTTCTGACAGGCACACTCCACACACAAATCATTTGGTCTTGAATGAAAAAAGACTACATAGTAAGTTGCTCTTCCCACATCAACTCCCAATCTAAGTTTAAAAGACTTCTTCATTAAAGGTACTTGATGCATTCAAATTTTAGTCTCATGAAAAGAAATGGCAGAAGAAGCTACTGAGAAAGGCAGCTCATCTCACCCACTGCGATCAGTTCCCAGTGCAGCTTCAGGTGTACCCAGGACACTTTCCAAACCATCACCAGGTGAAGTTATAAGCTAAAATCTTACAAAAATTTCTGCTTATTGACTTTTTTTATTCAAAAACAAAACAACAAATTTTCAGACTTGCTCTTGATATCCTGGAAGATCTGCCTTTGTAATGACTACCAACCATGGACAACGCAGGATGTCTTCTATCACTCCAAGCTTTAGCTGCTTTCTGGACTCTTGAGGAACAGTCTTCAACTCAGAAGAGGTTTTTTTTGGTGGTGGTGGGTTTTTTTGTTTGGTTGGTTGTTTTTTGGTGGGTTTGTTTTTTTTTTTTGCATAACACCACTACCACTGTCAGTTCCCAGTTTAAATTTACTCCCTGCTCTCCAACCAGGCTCCCTTACCTCAGGATCCTCCAAAGTATTGTCAAGAGAAGAATTCCTATTCAATGGAGAGGGAACAAAATGCATGTACATCCGTAAATTCTGTAGTTTGATTCCCAGTCCTTGTACTGCAATAAATCCCTCGGCTCAAAGCCAGTTGACCCCATCTTTACATGGATCTGTGCCATATTTAAGTTTGATACTAAAGTAGGAGTAAACCAGAGACATATTCCTGCATACATGGGTGACACGACACACACAGAAAGACCATGCCCTAATAATAACCACCCAAGGATCAGTGTGTGACTTGGGTCGGAACCACAACGTTACTTCAGCCTTGGGATCTCACATCAACCATGCCCCAGCACAGCTTGACTAAGCCTGTGCTCATTTCCTGCGACAACACATTTTCTAGGATGAGACAACTCGCCGTGTTATTTGTGACTGTGGCTTTGACTATTTGTTCGAACTCAGACAGACGAAATATGCTCCCACATCGAAAAATTGCCTAAGCGTCTGTATCAACGCAAGCACTGCTCGGCAGAGGCTGAAACAATGGGAGTCACCATGTGCTGCTCCTTATGTCTAAGCCACAGCCCGCTGCGGCCCTTTTTTGGGGAGAGAATACAGAAAGAACAGTTTGCTCGGGAAACATGTCATTGCACTCGGCCAAAGAAGCCAAACCACAGATTGTAAGATGAACTGTAAGTACATTTTTCTGACCCCAGCTATCAGCAGAACTGAGGACTGGTAAATGTAGGGATAAATTCTGATCAAAGCTACTTTTAACTTTTTTATCTGCCATTGCAAAGAATCAGACCTGGCTCAATCACAAGCGATTCTGCAGATCAGTGTGTTAGCAGCTACATTTCTTGCCTGTCCTCCCACCTCCCGTCCAGTTTACCGTGTCTGCTCTCAGGTTATGGGCAGCAACCTGACTCCTTCGGCTCCTTAGGCACAGAGCTGCTGTCTCAACACCCTCCTACTGCTGTGGCCCCACCGGCATCCAGTCCCACCAGCTGACATTTTTCCTGGTCAAGATTGTATCTGCAAATGAACTGTATGTTTCATAATAAAAACAAGTGAAAATATTTTTAGTGAAACCCGATGACTTCCTTCGCCCTAGAAGGACTACCCATTACCCTCAGCTGTTTAAAGGAAATGCAATTGCAACATCTCTGCCACCAGACTCCTATACCTATACCTGCACAGCCCACCTCCACTGCAGTGATCGCTGGTGGCCTCAGCCAGCTTAAGGCCATTTTGACTCTGGACAGACAGAAGTATCAGGTTCTGAATGCAATTGATACGTGTGCTGAACGGGTCATTTAAAAACTCAGCAACTGAACTGCTCTGACAGATCCCAACCTTATCTCCTCTGTGTAATCTGAATCTGCTTGGTTAAACAGGAGGATGTGCATGAATCAGGACGGCAAGGCTCTCCGTTACCTTCCCCAAGGAACAGCGCTGAAAACATGCACAACGGCGTGCGACCTGGTTTCTCTTGGTTCACAGGGCACATAACTGCAAGAAACTAGAAGCTAGCGTTGACAAGGGAATCAAAGTGCAATTTAAACAAACACAAACATAGAAAAATTAGGTAACGCTCCTCAGAAGACGACTCTTACCAGAGGACATTAGGACTGCTCTGGTATTGGTGACTACCAAGTCAATTTTACCATTCCTTAACTGGTTTTGCACACTGAATATCCTATGTGTACCCTAATCTGAGAAAGTCACAAGCAAACTGGGTGCAAAGATTTTGTCATAGCTGATAAAAGCATTCATGCAAAACAGAAAACTGTGCGCACAAAGCGAGTACTAAAAAATCTCTGTATTTTCTAAAAAGTGACCACTACTGCTAGTCACCTAATGCTGTCGTAAGTCATTTCTTCGTTTAAAAAGCATAGCTTGGAATAAGAGGAGCACAGATCTGGAATGTTTTATCTTCAGTTTCCAGTGTTTATTATTTATTTGTGTTACCTTGCTTTGTTATCAGCTCTGCAGACTCAGCAAAAGCATAGTCAGCAGCGTTAGGCAGACAGTGCTCCCTTTGTAGAGACTCAAACTGGAGACGATTACAAAAAATGTATTTGGTTTTTGTCTGCAGTTTAGGAAAGTCCCCTAGAGGAGATCAGAGAAACCATTTACAGTTTTGAAAAATAGTCATCTCATATAATTATGCTGAAGAAAATAATGATTTGTGAAAATCTCAGCAAGATAACAGACCTAAAAGACTGATTTCCTGAATACATGGTTCAGCTAAATTTCTTGTTGAATTAGGGCCAGTTTTGTGTAACTGTTCTTCAAGGTCCCATCTTTCCAGCAACACTTGCTACAGGGGAAGCAACGAACCACAGCTTAGTCAGGAGAACTGAGCATAGAAACCAGCATGCTGCTTTTGCACATGGTACTGCAGACAACCATCCCAAAATGACAGAAAAACAAGCCGGTTTTTAAAATTTCCAGATAGGCTTTAAAGAGTTTGTCAGTCAACATCTGCATTACAGAACTCCAATTTTGAGGGAGACCTCCTTTCAAATTTTTGCAGGACAGCTTGGCATCTAGCTTTAGCAGAGTATCCAAGCAGCTTCCACAGCTCCTTAGAGTCCTTTGAATTAAACTCCTCCAATTTAAAGTGTTGCCAGTTTTCTGTCCGTGGATATCCATCCACCTTCCTTGTGGAAACAGAGACAGAAAAGGATCCATCATCCATATGTACACTGATAGTCAAGGGGTTAAACTAAGACCAAAGCCCAATTGTCCCAGAGACTTGGGCCATATGGATATTTTAGTGTATGTAGGTGACTTTGTTTCTCCTTATCCCCCATGCATCAGTGCCACTTGCTCTCACTGTATTTGCTTCATACTGTTCCATAAGCATTACTGCAGATTTTAGGTAACTGCTTACCGCTCGAAAAGCCCAAGTATGTCATACTTGTATGCTAGTGCATACACGAGCAGGACACTCCAAGTTCTCACTATTGCAATACTGAGGTATGATCGATATGTTAAGCAAAACATGTATCGCGCTGTCACGATGTTCAAAGTCACTTCACACGGCCTCCTCCGGAGAGGCAAGAGCGTATGCTCCACAATCCATTGTATTACCTCAATAGCAACCAGAAGCGACCAAAACCGACCACCACTCAACAGCCTCAACCTCGGCTCTGAATTTAAAAGAAGAACAAAAATGTGTTTTGTATTACACTTCTGCAGGAGCTAGTGCAGGCTTAGACAGATAATACAAACCCCTTTAGAGCCCAAATCCTCCTGGCTGCCTTTCACTTAAGCTTTTCCAAGCACTCAGGTATTTAGATTCCAGTGCAGTCTGTTTCCTATAAGCCACCACAAACGGTGTGGCAGCACGTTTGAAACGGAGCCTCCCGAAGGGCACCCTTCTGCCGCGGGACGGCTCAGCACCAGCCCCGGCATCGCTGCCCCGTACTGCAGGACGGCACCTCGTGCGTGTGGCCTCGTGGCACTCCGAGGTGCCGTGGGGACTGGCCCAAACCGAGCAGAACTGAGGCTGTGCTCCTGCAGAGATACTGCCAAAGGCCAACCTCTGACATCTCGCCATTAACTGCATTCACACTAGTCTCCTGCCACGTTTCCCAGGAAATGTAGTTGCTATGCAAAAAAAAAAAAAGCTTAACTGCCTGATATTTCTGTTCCTGAGACAGCAGACTTAAATCTTCTGGGAGACTGCTTATTCCCATCCTCTCCTTCCTGCAGCTCTTTTAAGACAACTCCCCTCAACTGCAAAACCCTTAGCACATATTGTTGCACTTTCCCTGAACCCCAGCCATACCTTAACTCTTTCCTGTACAGCTCTTTGCCTGACTATTTCTTGTCCTTTGATGTGACACCGCAGTTTCTGCTGCTGCACTTCACCGGCCTCCTGGAAGGGAAGCTCTGCTAACCTGGCTGTCAGACGCAATAACTGCTGAAGCTTCAAATCTGCCCTCCAAAAACCTGTAGATCTAAAGCTTATTCTCTGCCTCGCAGACTACAAAAGCATGACTGTTTCAAAGAGCCGTCGTCTCCTGAAAATCCAGCAGGCCCGTTTTGCCTTGCAGTGGTCATTTCGCTCACGATTGATGTTCAGGAAGTGGATTGCTTCCCCTCTTGTTAGGCCCTATCTGGATTCACAGCAGCAAGGATCAGCAAATGCTTTCCGCTCCAGTCCCTTTTAGCTGTGTCTGTAAATAGCCTTTGAGCCACAGCAATTTGGAGGTATTCAGCCTCTGAATCCCTAATTCCTTTCAGCGCTCTGGCTAGCCCGGTATCAAGGCTCTGCACACGCTGCCACCCCGGGAATGCCTTGCTAGCAGCTTCCCATTTCGCTCGCTGTGCCAGCGATTCAGCTCACCAGGATGCTTTGTCAATGTAGTAATCCCAGCAATTGTCTGCTCGAGTACTTCATGGCAATCAAAAGCCATTTAAGATTTCAGGTTTGTCTTCCTCTTCCCCCCTCCCTCCCCACCTTCCCCCAAGACATTAGCTCAATTCTTTTACCAACGGAGGTGAGAAAAATGCCTTTAGCCCTACCACAACGCTAAGAGGTCGCTTTATTTGTCCCCTCCGAGAGCAGACATCATCTCTAGAGGTTAAACCAAAATAGAGATGCAGTAAAAAATGATACTCAGATCTCCTTCTGAGGGCTGAAGGAGTCTGATTCCATTATCTGGATTTGTTAAATTGCATCTTTAGACATTTTTTTGTGCGAGCAGATGTTGCAGATCTGGTTCTGTAAACCCAGCTCTCCCACAGCACGGGGCTGTTCAGCAAGCACGGGCAAAGCCAGGGATGAGAACCCTTCCCACACCATCAAAGCTAAATGCTTCACAACTAACACCCATCTCTGGACAATAATGTGATAAATTTCCCCTTCTTGACTCCTTGACACAAAATCTGATGGATGCTAGACAAACTATTCTGCCATAAAACCTGTTACGTGATGACCCAACATGACTCCAGCTTTTCCGTATGTAAATGTGAATTACACAGCTCGTGAGATTTGCAATCCAAAATGCTCCATCCCACACGGTGAAGAATATGTAACCCTGAAGAAACAGATTCTTTCATTCATTTCAAAGCATCAATCATGCACTCCCTGTAACTTAATTATAGGTCTACTGCTGAAAGAAATAATTAAGTCTCCATTAAAACCGTTGCTGGTGGACAATATGCTTCAGATTGCCCAAATTAAGCAATTTCACTTGCATTTGATGCTGATGTAAAGAGAGCTACCCTTTCTCGAAACCAGAGCTGGGCAGGGGGAGGAGGAGGAGATGGGTCCCTCATACACAGTTTTGCCATCCTGTTCTTACTGGCCGATAGGGCCAACTACTTTTCAGCCTGGGCAGCCAGAAAATGGGGAAGGGTTTGTTCTAGTACAAGACTAAAGGGGATGTTTTATTAGAGAACGATCTGCCCCAGAGCTCCTGGCTGCTACTCTGACAGCACTAGCTGTGCAGCACTCAATCGGAGATGGGGTATACCCGAGCTGACATTTTAGCTCTTAACTCTTTCAGATTTCCTAAGCAGGCTTCTTGCGCAGCCTCCCAGCACTGCCTGCTGGCGCGAACGCCGGAGCAATAAGCATATTTCAGCAGAGCAGAGAGTTTCTCCAAAGCCACAGACACGTCTCTCACAGAAGAAATGATTATTCTGATGCTGCCAAGGCTTTGGACAGAAGTCCCATTAGCACGCGGCGCTCGCAGCAATACCCAGTTATGTCTGGAAACCACGCCACGGGCTACAGCGAGAGGCACGCGGTGCAGAGCACAAAGATTACCCCAGCTACGAAAATAGGTGTGCTCGGGTAATAAACACACGGCTCAGAGACCCCGGTTCCTGCGCTAGCTTCACCACTCCGAAGCTAAGAGCATTTCATCCAAGCTGACTTTCCCCATTCGAGCTGTTTCGCTACCTGGTCCAGCCTTAGCGACAGCTGTGGCGAGTGGAGGTTGATTCTACTCTTTGTTCCCAGATGCGTTTTCTGCATCTCACACCTAAGCACATGCTCTCGGCTTGACGCAGTGGTCTTTTTCTTTTTTCAGGAGCTTACAGCAGTCTCCAACTTTATGATGATTATTATTATCAAGCTGTTGGCTCTGTTCAGAAGCAGCAGCCAAGGACTGCACCAGCGTCACACTGCCATGCCCAAGGTAGCAGCACCGAGGGAAGCATTTTGACCATCGCATCTCCCCCAGTGACCAGCAGCAGGTGCCCCCCTCGTTACGGAGGGGCTGCCTGACCACCGGGCAAGACCCCTGGGTCCATCTGCCGGGTCCTGGCTCAATCAGAGTGTGTGAGAGCATCAACTCGACTCAACCCCTCACATCTCCTCCGACCTGTCCGGGCAGGAGGAAAGAGTTCGGGGTACCTTTCTCCACCTCACCCGATGCCCCAGCCCGGTTTCCCGGTGAGCACCCCCGTGCTGCCCACTCTGTGCCCGGGGAGAGCCGGGCGAGGGGCCCCGTTCCGCTGGCTCACACCTGCCCCGGGAAGGGCGAGCGGTGCTGGGGCTGCTGAGGAGGGGTCCCGGCTGCAACAGCCCCCCGCCGTGGGCAGACCTCCCACCCGGGGGCTCTTCCCTCCATCACCCCTCAAGGGAAACGGCTATGCCGAGAGCCGAGCCGAACTGAGCCTTTCCGACCCGAGCCGAGCCCAACCAAGATAAACCGAGCCCAGCCAAACCCACCCAAGCCGAACCGACCCGAGCCGAACCCAGCTGACGTGAACGGAGCCAAACTGAGCTGTGTCCAGGCGAACTCACTCGAGCCTAACTGAGCCAAGCCAACCCGAGCCAAGCCAACCCGAGCCCACCCGAGCTGAAATGACCCGAACTGAGCCCAGCCCAGCCGAACCCACCCGAGCCGAACCGACCCGAATTGAGTCAAGCTCAGCCGAACCGACCCGAACTGAGCCCAGCCCAGCCGAGCCGAACCGAGCCAAGCCCAGCCGAACCCACCCGAACCGAACCGAGTCCGGGCGAACCCGCCCGAGCCGAACCGAACCCGCCCGAGCCGAACCGAACCCGCCCGAGCCGAACCGAACCCGCCCGAGCCGAACCGAACCCGCCCGAGCCGAACCGAACCCGCCCGAGCCGAACCGAACCCGCCCGAGCCGAACCGAACCCGCCCGAGCCCCGCCCCGCTCACCGGTGGGCAGCCACGGCGCGGCTCCTCAGGTACTTCTGCGCCGTCATGACCCCCACGAAGAGGAAGCTCTGCGCCGGCGGTCCGGGGCGGCGCGGCGGCGGGGCGGCGGCGGCAGCGGCGGCGGCGGGCGGCGGGCGGCAAGCCTGCGGGCGGGCTCGGCGGGGCCGCGCCGCCGCCGCCAGCTCGGAGGCGCGGGGCAGGACGAGGCGTGAGGCGAGCACGAAGCCCAGCACCAGCCCCAGCAGGACGCTGAGCCAGGCGCGGCGGCCGCGGCCCGCCATGCCCGCCCGGCGCCGCGCCGCGCAGGCCCCGCGCGGCTCCTCACAGCGCCGCCGCCCCGCGCTGCGCCGCCGCCGCCAGCCGCGCCGCGTCGCCCAGCGCCGCCATGGGGGAAGGGGCAGGGACGGGAAGCGGAGGGGAGGGAGGGGAAAAAGCGGCGGAGGAGGAGGAGGAGGAGGAGGAGGAGGAGGTGAGGGGGGGGGGGGGGGGGGGGGGGGGGACGCCCGCCTCCCCCGGCCCTGCCCCTCGGCACAGGCGCTGTGTGCGGCCCGCTGCCCCGCCCGGCCCGGCGGAGGGGCCGCCGCCGAACAGCCCCCGCGGGGGAGTGGGGTGGGGGGGAGAGGCGGTGCTGGGCACCCCCCCACCCACCTCCCCGAGCTGGCGATAGGGGCCTTCCCAAGGGGGGGGGGGGGGGGAACCGAGAGGCGGGGTTGTGACCCCGGGGCGGGGAACGGCTCGCAGAGCACCAACCTGGAGAGGGGGAGCGGCACCTCGACCCGGCGCCGCAGGGCAGGGCCGCCAGGGTCAGGCACCCTGAGACAGCGCATCCCACCTTGGCACCCCTGAACCGCGGCCCTGCCCCCCAGACCAAGAGGCTGGGACAGGAGCCCAAGAGACGTGGGGTGCTCAGACCCCGAGACAGGAGCCCGAAAGAGCAGGGATGCTCAGATTCTGGGACAGGAGCCCAAAAGAGCAGGGGTGCTCAGACCCCGAGACAGGAGCCCGAAAGAGCAGGGATGCTCAGATTCTGGGACAGGAGCCCAAAAGAGCAGGGGTGCTCAGACCCCGAGACAGGAGCCCGAAAGAGCAGGGATGCTCAGATCCTGGGACAGGAGCCCAAAAGAGCAGGGGTGCTCAGACCCCGAGACAGGAGCCCAAAAGAGCAGGGATGCTCAGATTCTGGGACAGGAGCCCAAAAGAGCAGGGGTGCTCAGACCCCGAGACAGGAGCCCGAAAGAGCAGGGATGCTCAGATTCTGGGACAGGAGCCCAAAAGAGCAGGGGTGCTCAGACCCCGAGACAGGAGCCCGAAAGAGCAGGGATGCTCAGATTCTGGGACAGGAGCCCAAAAGAGCAGGGGTGCTCAGACCCCGAGACAGGAGCCCGAAAGAGCAGGGATGCTCAGATCCTGGGACAAAGATCACCCCAGGACAGGGATCCCAGCCCAGCACCCTGCATCAAGACCCCAGGACAGGACTTCAGGAGCCAGGACTGGGACTCCAGCCCGGCCCTTCCCAGGATGGGAAGGCTCTGGGAGACTGGTACCCCAAGCCAGGACAGGCACCAGGTACCCATGCCCAGTGGCAGAAGTCCATCACCCATCCCCGCAGAGACCCAGCGCGGTTCACGCTGAGCCTGCACAGCCGGAGATGCACCGTTTCCATCCCTGCACAGTCAAGTCGCTGCTGCCCCGGGCCCCAGACCTGCCCTGTCTCAGCCCCTGGTGCGTGCAGAGCCAGAGGGGAGGCACGGCCCCGAGGAGCAGCTCTCCAGCCCTGGTTTCACTTGGTGCTGATGCATTCACGCGGCCCATGTTCTGGTGGCAGGGGGAGCGAAAATAAAGGCAGCTCTCCTGTTTTTCCCACCTTGCTATTTCCACCCGGAAGCTATAGTGACTGCTTAACAGAGTAAAGACTTTAGCTGTACCAGGAGAAGTGTTCCTTTTTCTTGGTCCACACTAACTCTCCATGTACGTTTCATCTACAGAGTGCTTCAGCTTCAAATACTGCAGCCCCAAATCCCTGACGTTTTACAGGGGAAAAAAAAAAAAAACAGTTTTTACAGAAGCAACATACCTAGTACAACCCACTGACCTCCTGTTTATCATTGTGGTTTCTTCCATTTCCTACCCACTTTTGCATTTCCAATTGCCAGTCTTTCCCATTTTAAAGTTTTATTTATATTGTGGCGTCATCCACAATGAGCTAAGAAGAAAATCTTGGTATAACGGCAGCCTGCTCTTGAGCAAGAACCGCTGCAAAAGAGGACACTGTACCAAATGAATACTGTACATTAATAAGTCAAAGACCCATACATGACAGATTTTTACAATCCTTGTACAGTTAGTAACTGTCACACTTCTGGGAACTAGCAGGTAATATCACAATCTGCTTATCTAACAAACTCGATGACATGTCTTGAAAAAATTGCTTTTGTGTGGGTTTTATTGCTCTTGTGATGGCCCAGTCCTCAGACAGAGGTCAGCACCAATAACCTCATGATGTCAGGAGCAACAAGTAACACATGGAAAGTGCCACTGTGATTTATAGTATTAAACAAAAATCAAATTAAATAGAAACTAGAGAAGAAATACAAGCAGTTAACAGGAAAGAAGAGCAGGAGGTCTCTTTTTGGTTGCCAATGGGCAGAACACAGACGTACTGAGTAAGATGTATGTTTGTGGGAAGAAGAAAAGAAGAACTAAATGGCAAGGGAGAAGGAAAGGAAGAGGAGTCTGAGCTGGAAAAAACAGGAGGTGGGTAAAGCCAGAGAAGGACAGGAACATTATCGCTTGGCGAAAGCCATCTGGAAGGCGAGAAGAGTTTCTGAGGCCAAGGCTTCATGCTTTCGAGAGCTGCAAAACACGGGGGAAGGGTTGCAAATGCACCACTAGCTCGGGTGCAGCGAATGTTAACAGTTTCTCAACAGCTTCACACGTGCTACCAGGCAAAGAGGCTGATGAAGATCCCCAGAAGGGCTTCTTGAAGGTTGACCATGCACAAGGCGCGGAGGTTTTCCCACCGCAGACAGGCACCAGGCAGACCCAGGGCTGTGCCTGGCTGGAAGCCCCGCGTTTGCTCTGACAAAGCCAGCACAAAGTTGTCTTTCTGGGACCTTCCTCTGGGGAACGGGAAACGGGACCCACGATCCACCTCAGTTCTTCCCTAGTGAAATAACTCCAAACCGCTTTTTATACCAAGAAAACCTTTTATCCTGTACTGTCATTTTCATCCCTTCCATCTGGGGAAGTCCCGCCACAACCACTACTGTAATTCCTTTCTAATTCCCAGGATTTGCAATGTTTCACTATTATTTCTAACTGCTGGTGCCCCAATCCCTTTCTGCAAAGTCTGGGGTTATCCTCAGCCTGTGCCACTCTGAACATGTGGATCTTTTACTCCACTTTCAAAAGCTTCTTCAGAAGGGACCTCATCAAACTCTGCTTCTCCCCTCTCCCCACAAGCCCATCCATCAGGTCCTGAAATACAGGACACTGACAGACTTTTAAGCTAAAAGAAAAAGGCCCCTCCTTTCCAAGAGAGGGAGATGTGGCAAGTCCATGAGCAGGAACGTGATTACACTCAGCATGCTCCAAATCAGCAGTAAAAATCTCCTGATTCAAGGGAAAGCCACTGTGGCCTATGAATTACAGGAAAAGGCAGAGCTAGCATGGTTAAAAGGCATTAAAAAAGAGAAGGGTTGGGGCTGAGGAGCCGTCAGTTGGCTTCTTCCCATAAAGAAAAGAAGTTAGTCATCAGAATTGAAAACTTCGTGCGACTTCAGCACACATGGAAACGATGAAGCGGAGCAGCACACTCCCGTGTTAGATCTCCTCTGCCCCGAGTTCTTGTTTGGCACGTTCCCACCTCCCCACACCTCCGCAGCAGTTGTGGTCCCAGACCTCGCCACGTGCAGGGGCTGAGCAGGGAGCGCTTGGGGAAGGGGCAGAAGGAAGGGATGCTTTCTTGGTGCCGGGATTTAACGTGGGGAGGAGGCACATTCAGAGTTCACACTGCTGCTGCACAAGATCACACCACAGGCTATAAGGCTGAGACGTCCAGCTGTAAAGTGGGGGTAGCACCTGGGAACGCTGCGATGCTCACACAGCCTCCCTAAGCACCTCAAAGCACCTCGCTTTATTTCATGTATTGCACCAAACTCACATTCCAATGTGTTAGGTGGGCAAACGCCCCTTTTACTGCAGCTGCTGTTTCCACTGTAGGAAAAAAAAAAAAAAAAAAAAAGGCAGATTGAGGGAAAAACTTGAAGAGCATGGTTTAGTTCTTCCCGCTGAATTATAACCCTGCCATTACCTGCCTAGAGAATGTTTTTAATCTGGTTGGCAGAGAAAGGTCATATTGCATAATCACATTTGTGACTTCCCCTATTAACACAGCTCTTAGTCTCAATGAATAGTTGACACTATATTTTATGGCTACTATATATTAAAAGGCATGGCATTTTTCTCATATAACACTACACAAGCATAAACACATCTTTATGCAGTGTGTTTTCTATTCTATGTGAGATTCCTTGAGGAAATATTCTGAGGGCTCTCCAAAACCTGAAGAGGATGGACATCACGTGTGCCCCGTCTCCGTGCTCCCATCCCACTCACTCCGGTGAGATTAGCACACAGACCAGCCGGCGAGAACCCACTTGACAGGCCCACACAGTTTAGATTCATAATCAGATTAACAAAATAGTACTCCTATTTTCAAATGATGAAAAAGCCAAGTCATTGAGGCAGCGAGCTGTTCTGTGCGTGTACAGAATAGATGTCATCCTTTTGGAATAAAAGAGCTTAATACCAAAATAAAAAGTTTCTTCCACATAGGAGACTACCCTATAGAGGAAAAAGGGACTATCTTGCATTGTAACCACTTCTTTTTCCCATCAGTTTTGATCTCTAATTCTTCCACAGTGACAAGCTCATTCTAATACTTACAGGATGTACCTTCTACAATATATATTCTTTACCATATTTTAAAATAATAGTTAAAGAAGTGAACTATTTCCCAAGTGCTCCAGAAACTTTAATTATGAATGTTCCAGTACTTAAACAGATACTTTAGAAGCTACCCAGGCACTGGAAAATGAGCATACTTCATATATTCAAGGTAACAGACTCACGGTGGAAAAAATCTAGCTGGGCAACCGGCAGCATTTGTCTCTCACAGTATTTCCAGCACCGTTGCATTTTCCCAAATGATGCAAAAACTCCTTCCCCAGCTCCAGCACCCACTTTTTTTTTTTTCCTCCCCATCTTCTTTTTCTCCTGCCACGGACCAGTCCCAACCTCCCCTCTCAGCTGAATCATT